CAAACTTATACAGGCTGAAGTACCAAAGGTCATCTCCCCTTGATTTGGCACTACCATCAGTAGAATCAATCATTCGATGAAGAGAATTTGATAAAACGAAATACGTGTTGGAGGACATCCGTATTTTTTGGGACCATAGATGAATATGCATTGTAGTAACCAGGATGATGTCTGGTAGTCTAAAGTTATAGGGTCTCTTTTAGTTACCTAGAATACTACTTGTGGTTGGACATCTTGTGAAATCTTACCAAATAAACCTCTATGAAATAGTAGGGCTTACCTCCAAACTTATACAGGCTGAAGTACCAAAGATCATCTCCCCTTGATTTGGCACTACCATCAGTAGAATCAATCATTCTATGAAGAGAAGTTGATTAAACAAAATCAAGGTTGGAGGACACCCGTTTTTTTGGGACCACAGATGAAAATGCATTGTATTAACCAGGGTGACGCCTGGTAGTCTATAAAGTTATAGGGTCTTTTTTGATTACCTAAAATACTAGTAATAAGATAGGGGTTGGAGGGCATCAGTTTTTTTTGCTAATAACTAAATTTCTTGTAGTGACCAGGGAACATGTCTATATAAACATCCTGTGGATGATAGTTGAAACTCTATGAAAGGAAGGGGCATGTAGTATATATATCTATGAAATGATGGGGCATCCATTGGATGCTTTGCAATACTCTATCCCTCTCTATCCTTTCTCCTGTCCTTGCTTCGCCAGGTCACTGCATGGAGGTGAGCAGAATAGTAATGCGCCTGGTATGAGCATTAGACCCATGGCAGCTAAACGGAAGAAACCTTCGCGCGATGTGATGTCGTCTTTCTTGTCTACCTTGATGTCGAAGGAACGAGCCTGAAGGTTCCGTTGCGTCCAACGGCCTGCCATCCGCCCGCTTGCGCCAAACACGTCCAAGATGCCCACAGTCCTCTGAACCTGGGCCGCTCCAGCAGCAAGAAAGTCCCGGATCTCCGGGATATGTTCTTCTGCTTTGAACCTTGTGCCACGAGATCATGCAAGAGATTGCAAGAGATAGTATAAAACCATATAAACACGAATATAAATTGACATTGCATGGAATTGCATGGAATTGCACGGATTTGCAATGGATATAGTCAATCGACTCTAGTATACTCTAGTCAATTCTAATCATCCAGAAATTATACCATGGTGACCAGCAACCAATGCATCTCTGAGGTCTCTGTTTGAGCATCATCGATCAGAGTGCCCTGTAGAAGTAGCACCGTCCCGCTGAAAATCAAAGTTAGCAGGTGCGTCGCAGGACACATGGCAAAGAATGCGAGTGAATGCAACTGAATCAAAATGATCAGTCGCCACGTTTCCTATAACAGGGGCTCACTCATCACACATTGAAATTCCTCTTGAGGCGCAATGGAAGCGAAAGCAAAGCTTCATGCGTAAGTCGAGGAGAATGCAACATGTTGCAACTAGAAAATAATAGGGCCTCGATATGCATCATTATATTGTGGCATGCGTTCATATACAGTAGCTTCTATAGAATGAAAGGACCTGTGCTCTCTGTGACAGAATGGCTAAAGCACCTGCACACAGTTGTCTTCTCTCACCCTGCCGACCTCGAACTGTTGATGGCCAGTCTTGGCCTTGGCCACAGCTATCCATTACAAAATGGGTGGAGGTAGTACGCAGCATGGAATATGTGGGAGCGCCATTGGATACCCAGCATTTTATAGAGACAGGATGAGACAGGTATGATCAAGTATGACTCGGTCATATACATCTGACTGGATCCAATTTCAGCCATGCGACTGTAGGATTTGTCCATGCCCGATCAAGAAGTTCAAATTCGGCGAGACTTGCGTCCAAAGCCTCAAGGAAGACTTCGCGATCCCTTCCTTTGCAGCCTTGTGGAACCTTGTGGGACCTGGTAGGAAGGTATATAAGTGGAAGAAATCCTGCAGTCACATGTCATCACGCGTCTATCTTTTCCCCACGCCATCCCATGGTGAATGATCACGCTCCTGTGCGACAAATTGCAATGAGCATGAACCCTAAAGCGATCCTAAAGGCAAGGCTAAAGCATCTCAAACCAATGGAGCTATAGCCATCTAAAAGCCAGGAACTAAAGGAGATGACTTTCTAATCGCATCTAATTACAGCAATAGTCTTCCATCATGTAACTATTGCTCAAATACCTGCGCTGGCGCTGAGGCACTCACCACTTCGAAGCCATAGTTCCTCGCCTCATCATCTTGCGGCTCAACGTTTGGCTGCAATTCCGCGGGCGATGGATCAGATGATGATGCAGCCCCGGGGCCCTCATTTGCGTACCACTGACGGAGCTTCAAACGGAGATCTGCCACCCTTGGCTCTGGACCCATCTCAATACCACGGTCTTCGCACTTTTTGCGAAGTTCTGGCAACACATCCCTTCCAATCTGCTTGAGGAAAGCATCCTTGATTGGGCGTGGATTCATGCGCCCGGACCTCTCGCGCTGTGACTGGACCATACTACGAAGCTCTTGCACAGACAGCTGGCTGAGATGAATTTGGATTCCCTGAATCTCCGGAAGATCATCAGGCTTCTGTCCCAGCTCCTGAATGCACTCAGTCTTGTTCATTTTCGTGTGCGACATAGGTGCCCGTGTCTTCTGTTCTGTGGCATTTTGGGATCCTGGAGCTCCCGAAGCCATGACCGCAAATCAGGCAGCGGAAGGTGAATGCTAGGACCGACAGTTTCGAGCAAGCGTGTGCTGTCCACCCTTGGGCCAACTAATCGGAGCATATAGATGCATATAGCATCATATACACAATCAAAAGACAGCAAGGATGCAAAACGAGTTGAATGAACTGCCATTTCCAAGATCGCGTAGCACCTGTCATTTTATAGAAACCCAGATCTCCTGGTTGGAAGTCTCGTCGGACACCTGTTTGCGGGGGTATCCTGTGGTCTGCTCAAATATTTGTTTTTGCTGGGCTCTATGAAATGCCAGGGGCTGCAAATCTTTACAAATCTATCCAAATATATATATATATACAACCATATGAAACCATACAAAAACTCACGCGTACGCGCAAACAAATTTCGGGCGCAAACAGCGTGCTCGTCCCTGCAGTGTCCTTATTGTTGCCAACGGCCTTGCCGTCGGTCTGCCTCTCCTGAGCCGGGGTGGGCTATATGGTAGACTATAGTATTTTACCCAACTCAACCCATCCCAACCCTATCATTTTACGGTATCTCCCATCCTCTATCTATTTTTCCTAACAGCTTGCCCAGCTATTTTCTAGTGAAGACAGGTATGGATAGCAAGGTAAGCTGCCAAACGAGCCAAAATTGCAAGCAGGGTTCCACTACGGATGCAGCGCCATGCTCCGCAACGTCCTTGCTGTTGTCGAAGCTGTTAGTCTGCTTCTTCTCCTTAGGCAGGGTGCGTGACATGCATCCATCCCAACACTCCAACCCTATCATTTTATAGTATCTCCATGTATCTCCGGTCTCCAGTCCTATACAGTCCTGCTCCTTTTTTCCCAATGGACTGCCATGGACCGCCCATCTATTTTATAGTGAAAACAGAAATGAATA